CATCAAGGCTTTTCGTGAGAGCACAGGTCAATGTTACGACTCCCAAATCGATACTGTTCAACTTGTGTTAGTTGAAGGACCCAACAAGAGAGCTTTGGAAACAGAGTTCATCGGTAAGACTGACAGAGGTCATAGAGTGTCATTTGCTAATCTCCCAGTCCCAGATCGGGATGATGATTATAATGGGAAGCAGAATCCAGGGTTAGAGACTATGTATAGAAGTTCGGATATCAAATTCAACAAAAGCATCTCTATTTGGATAAGCCCTTGCTATAACTAAATTAAGCTCATTTTGTTAGGTTTTATTCTTGGCAACCCCGTTTGACAAAACTCCTTTCAGTTGTATTTATTTTCGCACATTTATTTCAGTGAGGCTATGAGTGTTTAGATGCGAATCCAACCTAAATTGCGCTTTTCAGAGAAGTTTGTGATGCTAATGCTTTCAAGATTACCACTTCGCTGATTATGACGGGGATTGAGCTACCCGGTCAGCTCGCGGGGGTCCAGGGGGCAGCGCCCCTTAGCGGGTCCGGGGCAGCGCCACGACGGGGTCGAGGGGCAGTGCCCCCGAAGCAAAATGCAAAAATACATTCAAAATTGCCTGTCCGCTCGAGCGGACATACCCGCGCTCGAGCGGAGAATTCCTGGTTCCAGCAATTTTGGTCGCTTGTAAAAGTACTGAGATATGTAATTTTGCGCTCGAGCAGGTTCTCTAGCGCTCGAGCGGACTTCTGTTATATCACATGCATATTTTGCTGAAGACGCTCGAGCGGGCTGTTGGGCGCTCGAGCGGAGATCGCAGGACAGATTCTATAAATTCGCGTATTGGGTCAGATTTTAGGATAACTACTTCAGATCTTCTTTTTTGGTTCTAGGGTTTATATCTGGGGATACTTTGTGAGTTTTTCTTTGATGTTTTGATTGAGTATTCAACTCATGTTTTAAAAAGTATACATCAAAGGTTTTGTTTGTTCTACAAAAGAGAGAGTTGTTCTTCGGTGGATTCTGAAAAATTCGAGCTTGAAACTTTGGTGGATTCCGGGGTGGCTCATCGTAAAGACAATTCCGAGGTGAAGACGAGTTGGAAAAGGCACATAGAGGTTGGTTCAATTAGGCGTGGATTCGCTAGGTAATTGAGAGTATACTTGTGTAATTCCTTTAAATCTTCTTAGTGGATTGTTTTGTGGCTGTTGCCCGTGGTTTTTTTAATCACAGTTGAAGGTGTCTAATTGTGGTTTGTTCCACGTTAAAATCGTTGTGTTGATTTGTCTTGATTGTTTGATTGGGATTGTTATATTCTGCTTAAAATTGATACATAATCACAAATTAATATCAGGGGATTTCTAGATTTTTTAAAAATAAAAATAAAAAAGGTACCAAAACGACGTCGTTTTGACACCACAGCAGGATCCACTGTAAGAAAACACTGCAGAGGATCTGAACTTGTATTTTGCAAAACTCCCAATTGATGGCAATTCAATCCATCATCATTATAAAGGAGTTACACCCATTTTATATACATATGTAATGTGTATAATTCTGCAGCCACCTTATCCAACACCTTTTTCATGAGGCTAACTTAAAAAGTCATTTTCTCATTCAAATTTTAATAATTTTTTATCATTCTTTTTGTGGTGTAAAGATTTATTTACAAAGAATCTAAACCCACTTTACTCCACCTCAATTAAGGATGGGCACCCAATTTAATAATGTATTAAAGTTACCAACAAATCATTCTTTTTCCAACCGTTTCTGATGCCGTCGAGCAGAGGAGGTTGGTAGAACTCATCAAGGCTTTTCGTGAGAGCACAGGTCAATGTTATGACTCCCAAATCGATACTGTTCAACTTTGTGTTAGTTGAAGGACCCAACAAGAGAGCTTTGGAAACAGAGTTCATCGGTAAGACTGACAGAGGTCATAGAGTGTCATTTGCTAATCTCCCAGTCCCAGATCGGGATGATGATTATAATGGGAAGCAGAATCCAGGGTTAGAGACTATGTATAGAAGTTCGGATATCAAATTCAACAAAAGCATCTCTATTTGGATAAGCCCTTGCTATAACTAAATTAAGCTCATTTTATGACAAGGGTGCGGTTTGGTGCAACTTATTGTAATCTAAAAGTTGATAATCAGAAAAAAGAAATTAAAAGTACTCTTTTTCCAGCTTCTAAATAATCAGTTTTTCTCAATTTATTTAAGTTATTTCTATCTAAAAAATTATAAACAGAAGTTATAACAAATAGTCTGACACACATTCCTAAATTAAAATAAATTATAATCACCCCTATAACCCACACCTAACACCTCCAATGCAGTAGGTGATGAAGCAATTGCTTGTGTAAAGAGAAACTGCAGTTGCTTAAGAGGTTCTTTTACATGCTGACTGTTTAAAATTTTTGGCACTTGTGGGTCGCCACCACCACCTTCGTGCCATTTTAGTGTCCTGATTTATGGGGAGAGGAACTCCAAAAATAGGATCAAAATTAGTTTTTTTGGTTTTGGTTTTGGTTTTTTTTTAAATATTTTTTAGAAAATTTTACTTTTTTATTTTTCATATTTTTTGTTTTTGATGAATTTTTTTAATATTTTAAGTAATTTTTTTTTTCATTTTTAGATACACCTAACATAAATACACTTAAAAAGTAAAATATTTGTGAAAAAAATCTTTGAAAAATTCATTCAATACCAAAAATATAAAAAAAATATGAAAATTCAGTACATTTTTTTTATATTTTTGTGTATTTATTATTCTTTTAAAATATTTTTTCATAAATATTTTATTATTTAGATATATTTAAGTAAGGTGCATCTAAAAAAAATTTTAAAAAAAATTACTTAAAATTTTTAAAATATTCACTAAAAATGAAAAAATTCGAAAAATAAAAAACTCAATTTAAAAAAAAAATTAAATTAAAAAAATTAAAACCAAACATACTCAATGATTTTTGACTGGGTGGTATAGCTCTTGTCAAAAAACCTGTCTGAGAGATAGAGGATACAACTCAAATAAGTGAGCTATTGCAAATTTGTTGATTACAAGCTGCAATTCCATGTAGAGTTGAAATGCTTGATCACTGGTGATAAATCTTCTTCTTTTTGTTTTATTTTTAAAATTATATTTGTCGTTCATTTTTTAAAATAAATATGATTTAAACCTATAATTATTGATATCTAATCATCTTATTTTTTACATAAAATTTATTCTGAACATCTAGTGAATGGTTTAGATTACCGAGATTGATCCTAAAATGAGTTTACCAAACCTAAACAGTCTTTCAAATTATGATAAGTGGCGGAGCCACGCACAGGCTAGGGGGATCACATGCCCCTTGATTTTGGATTTTTTTTTATCTTTTTTATATGTGTATATAAATAAAATTTTAAACAAAAATAATATTTAGAATAAAATGCCAATGGCATTTCTAAATTTATGAGAATAATAGTGGTTGTTTTATTGAAAATAAAGAGATTACAACAAATTATATTTTTATGTATAAAAATTTTGTAAAAAAGTCTCAATGTAAAGGTAATATTTATCATTATTGACATATAAATATAATTAATCACACTATATATATGTAAATGTTATTAGAATGTTAGTTATATTTACATGTGAAATTCACCCTTCATATATTGCTTCATTATTGGTTTGTGATATCATACGTCAATAATAACGTGATATCACTATTATGAAATTTTTACTCAAATTTTGTAAAAAAAAATTCATCATACCATTATATAATTTATTTTAAGACTTAAATATATGACTTTTCACATTATCCATGATATACTAGTTATACGCAATATTTTTCCTTTCGATTTTACTCGAAATTAATTGTAAAATTTTATTTGAAATACTTTTGTAATAATTTATTTAAGGTTTTGTACTTAATATTAATTCAAAAATTATTAGTATCTTCTTATTGTTGGTTATGGGGAAAAAATTGAAGTTGTAATTAATAAATATTCTTTCTGATTTAGTTTTCTATATCCGCCATTGATTATGATGACATGAGAAATTCAACCCTTTACAAAAATAAATAAATAAATAAAAAGATGAAAATTGCTTCATAGCTTGAAATTTTAGAGGCTCGAGTGGCCCAAATTGCAAAATGACGTTGTTTTGCAAATCTTTTTTTTTTTCTTTCTTCTCTCTGAAACAAAGAGGTGAGAGAAGAGGAAGAGAGAGAAGAAGAAGAGGGGAACAGAGAGATCTGTATACATAGATCTGTGTATACACACAAGGAGGTTGCGAAGGGCGACGGTGATGGCGGAGGGGTTTGTGACGGTAATGACGGCGCTGGTATGTGGAGGGTTTGCGACGGTGATGGCGTCGCCGGTGGATAGGAGTTTCGGCTTTCTCTTGCTATTCTCCTCTCTTCTCTCTCTCTCTGTGTTCCCCATCCCTTTTCTCTCTTTTTCTATTCTCTTCCTCTTCTCTCTTTCTTCTATCTTCCTCCCTTTTTTCTCCTTCTCTCTTCTTCCTCTTCTCCTTCTTTTCTCCTTCTTTTTGTTTCAAAGAGAAAACAGATAGAAAAATAGAGATGGAAGAAAAAAAGAAAAAAAAAAAAAGTGAGTCGTTTTGGCACCTCGAGCCATTCGAGCCAAAAGTTATTTGAGCTACCTAGCGGGATTGTAAAAAGATATACACAATAAACGTAGTATATATGATTTTGGGTCCAGCTTGTCTCATGTTTGAGATCAAGATAGTCCAGTCCAGTCTGGCCCATGGGCCCATGTTTCAGTTTCATTTCGATAATCTGAACCGTTTAATGTGTAGAACTCGTCGAGTACTATATCTCTGTAAAAAATCACGTTGATCGAATATCGATAGCTATTTGATCAGATCAAATTTTTGTCAACCGTTTATTTTTTCACCATCTATTTTTTTATACAAATCTAATCTGATCATATAGCTATCGATATTTGATCAACGTGATTTTTGCAAAGATATAGTACTCGACAAGTTTTATATATTGAACGATTCGAATTATCGAAATGAGACCCAAAAATATGTCCATTGACCAGATTAAACGATCCAATCTTGATCTTAAACATAAAACACTACTAAAAAAAATACTTTTTGCGACCGTTACAAACAGACGCAAATAATAAAAATACAGTCGCAAAAGACTTTTTGCGATGACCCAAGTGACGGCATATGGGGGTCGCAAATGTAGGGGTCGCAAATGCTTTTTGCGACCGCAAAACAGCAATCGCAAACTATTTGCGACCACCTAACCTACTTTATGGCAACTGATGTTTTGCCGTCGCAAAGGAAAAAAAAAAAAAATACACCCTACAATGTATTAGCGACCATCTTATTACCATCGTAAATAGTTTTCAATGACATTTATAAATAGTGCATCATTATGATTTAGGATCTTTCCAAAAATCTGACTACGTTGTACAAGCCAAATCCAAGTGAATTTCTATTTATTTTTTTTTTTTTTGTCATTTTTTGTGCTTGAAACTCTTAATGTTCTTCAGAGTCGTTCAACTAGGCTAAAAAAAAAAAAGTGTTGGATTAGAATAAAATAATTCTTGTTATAATCCAATTTACTCAGAAATACTTTTTGCTGCCTCTGAGACTTCCCAAGCAGAAAATCAAACCTCAACAGTTTTCTTTCTCTAGTCATCGACATTTTTTGGGCCTACAGAAACAAAAAGCAAAATGAATTGGAAAGTCTCAATATGAAATTTTTTCATAAAAAGGAAATAATGAGCAGGGCCAGTTGTCCACAGAATTAAGGCCTAGTTAAAGAGATAACAGTAAAAGTAAAACAACGATTCAAAGGCTTCTCAAAGTCATCATATAAAAGGAACACAACTCACCGAAGAAAATTTTAAATATATGTTCCAAGGGGTTGGCATTCTTGGTAAAAAAAATCCTCCTGGAAACAGTAAGTTGAGGTGGCATGTTAGTACACGAAATTGGAGCAGCAAAATAAAATTTTATGGATGATGTGCAGTTCCAAAAAAATTCAAATGAAAGTAAAACTAACAAGAGTGTAGAATTTTTCTAACCAGGGATAGGCAAATGACATATGGTAGTAGAAAATAGAATAAAAACCAAAAAAAGCAAGAACAAAAACATATATAACATAGAAAAATCAGGGAAACCACTAAACTTGCAAAGGTGCTATCACAAACAAGGATATATTTGATATAAAAACAAGCTTCAATGGAGGATCAAGGGCTTAACATTATGAGGACATGGCGAACAAAGCATTGACATATGTTTTCTTTTTAAGGATTTGGATCTCCCGAATAAGGAATAAGGCTTTTTATCGCATTTATAGGTCCGCATACCCAAGATACCTTCTACAATTTCAACTATTATCAGGAGTTTATTTGTTGATTGTGGTGATGTTCCTATGAAACCACAATGGTTACTTGAACAAAATAATTTGAATACAAAACATGTGCAACATAGAAGAAAAAAAAAAAACCATGCTCTTACATGAATAACAAAATTTCTTTTAAGATAAAAAGTAAAAAGGCAGGCAGTTCCTTTTACAGTTTTGAATTCTTCATGATAACTATTTAATTGTTTAATGTAGCTAGAAGATCATACAAAATATCAAACAAAGAAATTTTGTTTAACTAAAGGAACCAGCATAATGTTTAGTTGTTTCATGGAAAATATTGGAATCTTCTCCGTAATAAAAGCATATCAATATCACATGAAACTCATGTTCTATTGATCCATTAACAACTATTTGTATCCCCTAGATAAATTTAATCAATATTCAAAAAATCAACAACCAATTAAACAAAAGTTAGGAGTTGATGGCACCTTCATAGATTTATACACAGAAAGGTACGATACTGCACTAAAAAGAACTAAAGAATATTAGAGATGCATTACAAACTTAAGATTTCAAACTTAACTCAACTTCGAGGAGCAAAAACAATTAGAAGAAACATACATCATTTCGAACAAGAATTGTTGGCTTGAATTCTGTTGTGCCCTTGTTAACACCCTATTTACATTTGATAAAAAGCTAACCAGTGCCTTTATCTTTCCATGCATTATTATTTGCTGGATCACTTGACTGATATAATAACCACAAAAGTTGTCCCATTTCCAACTTCTCGATCTTGAAGCTCAGCCAAATGGATGCTTTATTCTTCCACCTTTGCAGCAGGATGCTCAACATCTAACATATTGAGTATTATAGCACCATCATTAGTAATTGTTACATCACCAATATCATCAACTAGCATCTTAAACACAAAATCGATAAATGAAGTGTCAAGCTTCATATATTTCATTTCATCAATTTGATCAAAAAAATAAAAACTTGAAAAATGTTACATTGATAACAAATTAATGGTCATGTGATGCCTAAAATTTCCATATTAATGCAAGGGAATGTACTCTTTACCAAAATACCAAGTTACCCCACTTGCTAGTGAGATGGATAATAAAGCAAAAATGTTAAAAGATGCGTACTAGGCGATTAAATTATCCCATTACCATTATGGTGTAATCTTAATCAATTGCACAAAAGATCTACCTTTTCACTAAACTGACCCAGGGAAAAAAAATGTTTTAAGACTTTCAAAAACTCATTACCAATACTGGTAAACTTAAAATATTTAAATTGTTGATCTAATAGTAAAAGTTGAACTGAAATTAAAAGTTTAAGGGAGAGATAGAGAGACATAGAGAGTAACTCTACAAACTGTTACAATCTGCAAATCCAAATTAGAAATAAAGAAAGAACATTCAAGCATACAGCACATAACCAGTCCTTACCCTTTCCAAATTTAAATTGGAGTTGAAAATTTTCAAAACCCTCTTCACTTCTTTACTGAAACTAGAATGAAAATGAGTTCTACTCAAATCAAAAAAAGTCTCATATGTTCACTCAAAATTCCTAAATGAAAGTGAGTTCTACTCATTCTTTTACTCAAATCAAGAGTCATAATTTTACTCAAAATTTTGAAGGCCACTTTCAACTTTATTACTATGCTATTAAAAAGTTTTGTACTTATATTTGAACAAAGGCAGGTGATGGGAACCTAAAAATAAAACTAGAAAATGAAAAGCAATTATGAATCCAATTTTCTAGAGAATCAGTTGCCTCTTCTTGAATGTCGCACAAAATATTAAGCCAAATGAAGATCAAATTCCAGAATTAACACCTATTTTTCCAATGATTCCTCCCTAGAGCATGATAATAACAACCCAGAATGATATACATGTAGAGAGAGAGAGAGGTGGACGGATAATTTTGTTGGAAAATGGTTTTATATAGGCATAATTTTGAGCCCATTTTGGGTGGACCCCAAACGTCTTTTGGGGTGGGTCCGAAGAGGTGAAGTGGTGAAGACGGAACGTCAAAACCATTTATGAGTGAATGGGAAGATGACGTCGTTTTCGGGTTTAACATTAATTTTTTAGATAAAATTCTTTTGAATTTTTTCAATAAAAAAATTATTGTGGGAATTTAATTTAATTCTAAAATCAAATTTTGAGTTCCTGAGTGGTTTCTTAAAATGTGTAATTTTAGAATTTAATTTAATTCTAAATTTAAATTTTAGATTTCTTAAGTGGTTTCCTAAAATTTATACCTCTTACTTTATTTATTAAACTATTCAATTAGTTTAATATATATATATATATATATATTCAAATAGTTTTTTAAATTAAGTTCCAACAGGTGATTAGTTCTTCTAACAGGTCACTTTTCATAATGTTTGAAAATGCTCCGGTTTTGCCTAGCGGAAACTTTCAAAAACATTTGAATATAATTGGTGCGTCTGTTCACTGTTTTTTGAGAAACCTGTTCGGGGCTTAAGATTTTGCCTATATATACTGTCTTTTTCCAGCGTTTTGAGTAGTGGAAAAATCAGTCAAAATAATCTGGAAATTTAGTTTTGGTAATCCAATTTCCATCCGAAATTTTTAGTCTAAAACTTGTCTCTTCGCTGTCCATTTCTTTTAGTGCATTATTCCTCATATTTAGTTTAAGGAAAAAATATTCAGAGAGTTTAGATCACAGGTTTGGTTCGCCGAACAAATTTATTTGAAGTACTTCTATAAATTTGTGAAGATCATTGTATCCTGGGAGATAGACGCCACTCAACCGTAAGTACCATAGCGGGGCGAATCTGTCTTAAGGACAGAGTGTCACACACTCGACTTGGTCTTGTAATTTTATTTGGTTCGACAAAATAAATCCGGTATGTTATTTATTTATTTTGTTTGAATTTATTTCTAGTTATTTTATTTACACAGAAGATTGGTCCAACAAATTTTCTACAGAAACATCTGTCTCTACTCAAATTTTGCACACAATTAAGCTAAATAAAACTCAAATTCTAAAAATAACACCTAACTTCTCAATGATTCCTTGCAACACCATGTTAAGTAGAGATAAAAAGAGAGGTAGAGTGATAATTTCCTAGAGAAACTGAAGTTTTCGCTCTAATTTCACACATAATTAAGCTAAACAAAGCTCAAATAACAGAAATAATTCCCATCTTCCCAATGATTCCCCGCTAGTGTTAACAACAACCTAGAATACTATACATGTAGAGAGAGTAGAGAGAGACGATTGATAATTTTCTGGAAAATTCTACTATACACACCCTTTAAAGTGGTATACCACCTAGTTATGCTATTTACTTTTTTTGTTATGATTAATTTTTTTTTTTTTAAGTTATGACAATATAATTATAATTTATGAGATTTTAGCTATGGTTTATGTGTTGTTTAATTATGATATATTTTTAGTTATAACGTAAAAAGTGTGGTGTTATACTATTTTTTTCTTTTTTCTATCCACAGTTTCCCTAATTTTCTGGAGATACAGCAATCTTTGCGCGGATTTTGCACCTAATTAAGCTAAATCAAACTCAAATTCTAGAATTACATCTATGTTCCCAATGATTCCTCCCTAGATCATGTCAACAACCATATATATGTACAGAGGGAGTAGATAGAGAGAGAGAGAGGTGAATTGATATTAGTTTAGAGAAACAGCTGTCTGCACTCAAATTTCACACATAATTAAGCTAGACAAAACTCAAATTCTAGAAATAACACCTACCTACCCAATCATTCCTCTCTAGATCATGTCAAAGCAACCTATAGCGATTCTGAATTTAAAGAGCTTGAATACAAAAGAGAGAGAGAGAGAGAGAGAGAGAGAGAGAGAGAGAGAGAAGCTACACACCTTCGCTGGTTGATTTTGAGATCTACAACAAAGGTTCAAGTGAAAGAATCAACATAATAATCACAAGGAGAAAAAAATGAAGAATGAAGAAGTTCGGGAATATTAAGTTTACGGTCCCCTTTTTCTTCTTGTCTCAAAACAATGATCAATTTCAATTGGTATGTAAAGTGAAGATAGCTATAGAATATTGTATTTAAGAAGCTTAATCATAAGGGGACAAATAGGCAAATGACCCTGAAGTATGAGCATTATTCAAGAAAATAAATGTCTAGTACTTACTTCTTTTGATAGTCTCTCGATCTCAGACGTATAAAAATCAATTGCGTCTGCACTCTTCCCCGAAAGGCCAAGAAAACCAGTATGTTTAATGAAAAACATTTTCCTGACAAGATGTTAGTATTCGTAATTAATAATGAGATATAGCATGATGTAATTTCCTTCTAAATTTGGCATATTAATATCAGTTTCAAAATAATCAAATTTTCATAGTCATTGGAATACATTCACATAGGGACTTTTTGATTGGTTTCTAGCATACTTGAGCTAATAGTAGTCAAGCCAGTTCTGCTTACTTGACCAGGAAAAAAATGCTCCACAAGCTCATTAACTGATTCATCAAGGTCTGGTGGCACATTTCTGACAAGTACCTACATAAAAATGTGTAAATTCACAAATTAGTAAAAGACACAAATAGTGACAACTTCAGATTGAAATACGAACTAACATTACCTATTATTATTACACCATGGCCTCGTTTGGAAAGTGGTTTTTTGACTTTTTGACTATTTAGCTATTTTAGTTTTTGTGTTTGAGAAGATGGATTGAATTTTTTGTTTGATTGTTGTATTGGAAAATATGTTTGAAATGATATGGGAAGGGCAATGACAATCTTTTGAGAGTTAACTGCATGCCTTACCTTTAGATAGTTTTGACAATTTTGTGTGAAAAAATGTGTTTCTAAATCAACATTGCTGCCTTAAAAAAAGGATGCAAATCGACAGAAGCGAATGGATATAACTTAATCATAAAACTTCATGAAAGCCTAAAAAAGATGAGTTAACCTGAAAGAAAATTTAATTACTTCCTATTCTAAGCTAAATGCTACATGTCATGGAGAAAAATTATTTATTAAATTAAAATATGCGAAGAAATTGTAAATTTACTTTTCCCTTCTTTCTCTCTCTCTCTCTCTCTCTCAATATTGTCTTGTTTCCACCAACAAAAAACAAACTAAAAACCATTAAATTTTTTCCATAAACTAAATAAAAGAGGCAATTCCCACAAAAAGCACTCAAGAGCAAATATAAAGATCAAAGTTCTATGGAGAGGATTCAGCATATTTATACCAAACCAAACCAATTCAGTATATTTATGGCAAAAGAAAAAAGTAACTTAAAATATATAGCAAATTTAGCACAGTCTTGCTTACCTATGTGATCCAATTGGAATGTTCAAGATAGAAAGCTTATCTATGTCGCTGTAAGTTAAATTAGAATGCTCTAAAGTTCCATTGGTATAATTAACTGGCACCATGACTGTGAAAGTAAGGAATGCAATAGGAACACAAATTTTAAGTCTACATTGGGAAAAAAGAAAACATGATCAGTCCAAGAAAGCAGAAAGAAACTAACATTCTCAAACTCATGAAATTATCAGAGAAAAAAAATTCATATATGAATTTCAAAAGAGTCTGCCACATAGGACCAAAATCAATCCTCTATAGAACACTAAAGCAAAACAGAGGAGTCATAAAATCAACATCTCTATCAATCAAATATAACTCGAATCTTCTGAGTATTTCATAGGTATATATATAACTCAAATTTCAGATTCTACATGAACATGGATCTCAGAATAACACAATTCGATTAACACAAAAAACAATTGAACAGTACTAATTTCACATTAAAAAAGAAAAGAAAAGAAAATTTAGAAATTGACAAACTCAAATCCATCTAAAACAATTCCACAACCTTGAGCAATTAGATTCAATTTTCAAAATCCAATTCACAAAAACCTCAATCAAATTCACGGGCACACATTTATATCAACAGCAACACAATCTTTGCTGACTAACATTTAAACTTCACACTACACAATCTGAGTCATACTTCATAGATACCCGTAAACATGTATGTATAGTTGAAAAGCCTAACCCACACTTCTCCTTAAAACTCAAGTATTAAGAAGAGGGAAACTAAAGTCTTATAACTAACACAGATTGGGCAACTCTAAGCAATGTGGAACATATTCCAACACACCTTTCTAGACCACAACACACACTAGCTAGACACATAGCCCACCAGTCACAGGCCCAACTGAGCTTTGATACCAAGTTGAAAAGCTTAGCCCACACTTCTCCTTAAACCCAGGTATTAAGAAGAGGGAAACTAGAGTCTTATAATTACCACAAATGGGACAATTCCAAGCTATATGGAACACATTCCAACATGTATAGGCGTAGAGAGAGAGGGAGATTGAGAGAGGTAAAAATTGGGAAAAAGAGAGAGAGAGACAGATTCATACCGCCGAATATCTCAGACAACAATGACGAGTGAGAGAACGAGAGAGCAGAGCTATACAAGTCTGTGATGCGTGAGAGAGAGAGAGAGAGAGAGAGAGAGAGAGAGAGACAGATTAGTGTTTGAATTTTTCTAAAACTATGACAAATATAAGGGAAACAAGTAAAAAGGATAAAATAAATATAAATTTTTTTTAAAAAAATGAATAAATTAGTTATTTACAACTAAGGCCTTGTTTGGGAACAGGCAATTTTAATAATTTTTTGACTTTTTTGCTAAAATATGAGATAAAAAAAACTAGTATGTTTGGGGTGACTTTTTAGTTTTTTACAAAAAGATGTGCAAAAAGTTGAGAGAAAAGAGAATCTTTGACTTTTTTGTATAAATTATAGACTTTTTGGCTTTTTTAGTAACTTTTTAACTTTTTGACTAAAATGTTAATTTGTCAAACGAGGCCTAATAATCAAATAGTCGCAATCCATATAATAAGGCAGAAGGGTTTTTGAAAATGTATAAAATGTATCAGAGATACATTTTAAATCAATGGCCTATATCAATCTGAGTATATATCAATGGCTCAGATCTATGGAGTTCCCACCCAAACATTTAGGCTTCCACTTGCCCACGTCTCCTCTCCTACCCATGTCTCCTCTCCATTCTATCTTTATCACTCTCTCTTTCTCTCTCTCTCTCTCTCTCTCTCTCTCTCTCTCTCCCTCTCCCTCTCTGTTCCCACCCACGTCTCCTCATTCTCTCTTTATCTCTCTCTCTGTCTCCCTCTCTCTTCTTCTTCTTCCATACCCTCCATCTTCGCTCACTTCCGACGCTGCTCTCTAGGCTCGGCTCGCAAGGTAAGATTTCTGCTATCTCTCATTCTCTGTCTTTTTTTCCTACCCTCCCTCTTCGCTCGTTCCCCTTCTCTATGTATTTCTCTAGTATTTTTTATCTTCCTTATCTGGGTTTATAACCTGTTTATCTAGGTTTGATTGTTTAACTATGTTTAAAATGGGTTTGATTGTACACAAACTGATTTTGCTTCTTTCTTACCCTCCCTCTTCGCTCGCTCCCCTTCTCTCTCTGTTTTCCTAGCATTTTTTATCTTCCTTATCTGGGTTTATTTGGGTTTATAATCAGTTTATCTGGGTTTGCTAATCACTGGGTTTGTTTAACTAATCAATCAGTTTTTTGCATATTATTTGGCTTGCTAATCAAACATCTTCTGTGAACTGGCTTGATTGGGGTAAATGATTTCTTTTCATTTTATATTGTTGGGTTTGATTTATTGATTGGGGTAAATGATTTAATCTCCTTTGCCCAAAAAAAATTCTGCACATACTTACCTTTTTTCTCTCTTTCATTTGAGGTACTCAATGTTACAAATTGATTAAATGTGGTGACTATGTATAGGTACACACTTCAAAGGTAAATGATTTCTTTTCATTTTATATTGTTGGGTTTGATTTATACCTCTCTATCTGATTGATTGGGGTAAATGATTTATTTTCATTTTATATTGCTGGGTTTGATTTATGTGGTGCTTTTGGGTAATCTTCTTTGCCCAAAAAATTTTTTTGCACACACTTACCTTTTTTCTCTCTTTCATTTGAGGTACTCAATGTTACAAACTGATTAAATGTGGTGACTATGTATAAGTATGTGGTGCTTCTAGGTAATCTCCTTTGCCCAAAAAAAATTCTACACACACTAAGAATTTTGGGTAATGAAACTTAGAATCTGTTGGTTTCAGATTCTAAGAATTTTTTTGGTTCATTATGGTGATTTCCAAGTTGATTGCTTTTAAGCAAAGCAATAATAAGTTTTTCCCTGATTTATTTTCTGAATCTGTTGGGTTAAGATTCTCAGAATTTTTTGAACTGCTAATCGTTGGGTGTTTGTTCCATTGGGTTGTGTTAGATTTTTGTCTAATGGAAAAGTATTTGATTCTAATGAAACTTAGAATCTGCTGCAATACATTTGACAGTAATTGAACAATACATTTGCATTACAAAACATGTATACATTATTTTTTTTTAAAGTTGTATTCAAAGTTACAAAACATGTATACATTTGACAGTAATGGAACAAACATGTATACATTATTTTCCCTTAGGTGCTGAAATACATGTGTATGCATTATATTCTTTTAGATATTACGATTGGCCTTAAAAATTTAATGGACAAAGCTTGCATAGTTCTCATCTGCCTACTTTCGTGGGCAAAACACACATGCACATGCATGTATGCATTACATATATATCTCATTGGATATGTGACAGAAAAGTCCATTTGTGCTCATATATTTTTTTTTTAATTTTGTGTTCAAAGTTTGATTTTTTGTAAAAGAAAAGTATTTGATTGCTAATGAAACTTAGAATATGTTGGTTTCAGATTCTAAGAATTTTTTTGGTTCATTATGGTGATTTCTAAGTTGATTGATTTTAAACAAAGCAACAATAAGTTTTTCCCTGATTTATTGTCTGAATCTGTTGGATTAAGATTCTAAGAATTTTTTGAACTGCTAATCGTTGGGTGTTTGTTCCATTGGGTTGATTTTTTTAACCATTTCCATGCTTTGTTTTTTTTTTCTTTTTTAAATTGGTATTCCAATCAAAGTTAGATGTTTTGTAATTGAAAAGCATTTGATTGCTATGCTTTTTAGTTTCATTTGAGATTTAGCAGGTAGAGTTTACTTATTTTGGAACTTTGGATTATTGACTCTTCAAAGGAACAATGCGCCTTAGGTGCTGAAATACATGTGTATGCATTATATTCTTTTAGATATTACGATTGGCCTAAAAAATTTAATAGACAAAGCTTGCATAGTTTTCATCTGCCTGCTTTCGTGGGCAAAACACACACGCACATGCATGTATGCATTATATATATCTCATTGGATATGTGAAAGAAAATTCCATTTGTGCTCATATATTTTTTTAAAAAAAATTTGTGTTCAAAGTTTGATTTTTTGTAATGAAAAAGCATTTGATTGCTAAGCTTTTTAGTTTCATTTGAGATTTAGCATGTTGAGTTAACT